GTCAGCCTCAGCAGCCAGCAGCTGTCTGAGTGAAGAAAAGCCTCTAGCTCCAGTGGGCCGGGAGCAGGAGGCAGAGCTGAAGCCCTGCAAACTGTAAGAGAATAAACTGTTTCTTCAAGCCATCCCATTTGTGGTATGTTCTTGTGGAGTGGCACTAGGGAACTAGAACATATGTACATAGCTCAACTCACTGCCTTTGAGTCAGTTCTGACTCATAGCGACCCTTCCTTGGCTTTTTTGAGGCAGTATCTCTGTGGTAGATTGCCCAGTCTGCCTTCCGAGGAGTGGCTGGTGGGTTTGAACCGCCAGTCTTCTGGTTAGCAGTCAGATGCCTAAGGCACTATGCCGACCAGGACAACAAAATAAATCACTTGGGTGAAAGAAAAGAAACACTTGTAATTAATATAAGTAGAAACAAACTGCTGGTTAGTTTACTAGCACTTAGGAACTAAAATGGAACACCCCTTTGTCAAGTATTTATTTTCTATCTGCTTGAAAAGCACATTACATTTCCCGAAGAACTGCAATTTTATACCTTGTGATACATGTTCAATGTTCATTTGCTCATGGACTGGTACAGTGGCTGTGACCATGGGCTTAAGCACAGCAGGGACAGTGAGGATGTTGCAGGACCAGGCAGTGTTTCTTTCTGTTGGATGTGTAGAGTCACTGTGAGAGGGCACCAACTTGATACAATGTTCCATTTGTTCACGTTACATTTTACTTCATAAGTACAAACTAGCCAGCAGTCTGTTTCTACCCATATTAATTACAAGTGTTTCTTTTCTTTACTCCAAGTCATTTCTTTTGTTCTCCTGGTCATTTTTGTCTATGTTCATTTTGAAATAAGTATAGACCCAGACGCAATTGCAATCCTGGTCATTTTAAAGTCTTCTTTCCTTCCTGGTTTTTGTGGCTCCATAGTTTTCCTTCCACCACTTGTCTGTCTGTCTGTCCCATGTGGCTGGTGTGTTGCTGTGAGGCTGGTAGCTATGCCACCAGTGCTTCAAACACCAGCAGGGTCGCCCGCGGCGGACAGGTTCAGCGGAGCTTCCAGACTGAGACAGACTCGGAAGGAAGAGGCCAGCCACTGCTGAAAAAATTGGCCACTGAAAACCTTATGAATAGCAATGAAACACTGCAGTTCAAACCCACCAGTCACTCCCCAGAAGGAAGATTGGACAACCTACTTCCGCAGACAGACCACCTTGGAAACCCATGGAGGGGTCGCTATGAGTCAGATCCAACCTGACCGCAGTGAGTTTGGTTTTTATTTTATTTTATTTTTCAGTAAGTAGAGAGCAAAAAGGGGGAAGGCCCTCAACAGGATGGACTGACACAGTGGCTGTGGTGCCGGGCTCAGGTACAGCAAGGATTGTGAGGCTGGCACAGGACCGGGCAGGGTTTCGTTCTGTTGCACCTGGGGTCACTATGAGCAGGCCTCAACTGCACGGCACCTAACATCCTATTCCTTACACACTTCTATGGTGCTTTCTAATAACTGTGTCTGCTAATGTCAATGTCAGTAGTCCCCCAGGGTTCCAACTTGTCACTGGCCCTCCTGACTCCCATACTGGGGCCTGTTTTCTCATGAGTGGTCGATCTCAGCTTGGAGAAAAGCAAGGACCTAAAATGAGGAAGGAGCTCTGATGGCCCCGTGGTTAAGGCTTTCAGCAGGTAATCAAAAGGTCAGTGGTTCGAACCCACTAGACATCCATAGGAGCTCTGGTAGCATAGTGGCTAAGGCACTTGACTGCTAACCAGACGGCTGGCGGTTCAAACCCACTAGCCACTCCTCGGAAGGAAGGTTGGGCAATCCTACTTCCGTAGTGATACTGCCTC